GTTCTGTTTTTTAAATTTTGTATGTATATATTTTATTGTTGGCTGTTCACTGCCCTGAGTCCTTCGGGAGAAGGGCGGTATACAAATTAAATAAAAGTAAAAGTAAAGTAAAGACAATGAGAACTGGCAATTTATGACAGAACAACTGCAGAGAATGGACTTTGGGGACATATTTATAAACACTATAAAAATGATTTATGATAGACAATCTGCTAAGATAATGATGAATGGAGAAATGACAGAAAATATTTGTATTATGAAGGGCACTAGACAAGGATGTCCTCTATAACCATTGCTGTGTATTTTGACCTTAGAAGTTTTAAATAGAAATATTAGGTGAAATGAAGAGATAAAAGGGATGAAAATCAAAAAAGAAGAGTATAAATTGTAAGCTTTTGCAAATGATTTAGTATTCATTTTAGAGGAATCACAAACAACAGGTCCCAAATTGCTAGAACAAATAGAGAATTATGGAAAAGTGTCTGGTCTAAAAATAAATAAAGATAAAACAAAAATTTTGGTGAAAAATATTATAGAAAAACACAAAAGAGAGATAGAAAAGAATCTAGATATACAAGTGGTGAAAAAAGTTAAATACCTAGGAGTATCTCTAACTTCAAGATGTGCAACGATAAAAGAGGATAATTATTATAAATTAAAACAATAAATTGAGAAAGACTTGGAGAAGTGGAAGAACCTTCAATTGTCACTAATGGGAAGGATTGCAATAATAAAGATGAATATATTACCAAGATTATTATTTATATTTCAGACAGTACCAATAAAAATTGAAAAGACTTATTTTCAACAGCTTAATAAGATAATAAGGAAATTTATACGGCATGGGAAAAAAGCAAGAATAAGCATAAAAATGCTTCAGGACACGAGATTACGTGGAGATTTGGGTTACCAAACTGGGAATTGTATTACAAGGCAGCAGCATTGACTTGGATGAAGGAATGAGTTGAATTAAGAAATACAAGACTATTAACACTGGAAGGTCATAATTTACAACTGGGATGGCATGCATTTTATGGTATGGTAGAAATAAGATACATATGTACTTTCATAGACATTATATAAGGAATGCATTCCTATTGGTATGGAAGAAGGTCAGAGATAAATATTATCTGAAAATACCAATATGGTTATCAACAATGGCACACCCAAATGTTTTTAATGTTGGAAATATTGTTAGATATAACAGATTAACAGATAAGGGATTTGAAAGGGAAATGAGAGTTGGAAGAACAGGGGATTGAGATGGATTGGTATATGTACATGCAGATACAAACAAGATATGAAAAAGATACTAAAGTATATGGTTTTCACTTAGAAAAAACAGAGTTGGATGGGATACTCATGGGAACAGTGGATAAATTAATTTTAAAAATCTATAATTTTTTACTAGGTATTGCACTGGAGGAGGAGCAAGTAAAGGAAACAATAATAGCCAGGGCAAAGATTCAATAGATCTAGATAAATGGCAATAGTTATGGGAAAGGAATTATAAATTAACTATGTCCACTGCATATAAGGAAAATCAATATAAAATGGTTTTTGATGGCATATGCCCCCTGAGAAACTGGCAAAATGTTTAACGATAAATCAGCTAAATGTTGGAAATGTTACCAGTTACCAGGTTCTTATTACCATATGTAGTGGACATGTCCAGAAGCAAAAATTTATTGGAATACAATTAAGATATGGCTGGAAGAAATGATACAACAATGTATTGATTTAAAACCAGAACTGTTCCTATTAGGTATCCTACCAGAAAAAATTAGTGAAGAAAATATTTATTTGATTATACATGGAAACGGCTGCAAGGATTGTTTATGCTCAACACTGGAAAGCAGAGAAAATACCTTTGGAAGGAGAAGTAATTAAAAATAAATTAGATTGTGCAGAAATGAATAGATTGACTTTGATGATTAAAGAAAGAGAAGATTCAGAATACTTTAAGATATGGAATCAATTTTACTATTGGTTAGAAAAGAGATACAAATAAGTAAATTAATAGTTATGTATAAAAATGTCAAAATCAGAATATTTTGTTAGTGATGAATTGTTGTAATTGATTCGATGAGAAAGAAGACAGAAGAAATAACAAAAAGAAGAACGATTGGAGACAACATCGAGATGTCACATGGAAGGAATAACTGATGTATTAAATGTTTGTTTGTTTAAAAAAAATTTAAATTTTTTTTAAAAACCATCTGCTCCATTCCACCCCACGACCAAAGGTCAGGCTGAACAAATGGTTAGGACCACAAAGGAGGCACTCAAGCGGATGACAACTGGGGACTGGAATCACTGCCTGGCAAACTTTCTCCTGTGTCAATACACGACTCACTGGTGTGTTGCAGATCACAGTCCAGCGGGGCTGAGGTGAGGCTGCCAGCTCACAACAAAGCTCAACCGACTTCACTTAGACAAAATAGCAGTGGAGACGACTCAGCCACACACACCCAGGTATTCACAGCTGGGTGACTTGGTCTGGGCCAGGAGCCATGGGAGTGGGACACATTGGATGGCAGCAAAAGTAACTAAGGTAACGGATCCCTTGTCATACAAGGTTATTCTGGGGGATGATCATACAATCAGACACCACATTGATCAGTTACGGTGTCGGCAGGCCAGGCCAATCCCAGATGAGGATCCCAAGGTTTTATCAGACCCAAGAGAAAACTTTTCCTCCGAGTCTGCCTACACCACCCATGGTCACCTCCAGAGAAACAGAGGTACCAAGAGCGATAGAGCTGCCACCACTCACAGGCGACCAAAACGGCCATCAAGACTCTGTCCAATTGGAGATGGACAATACACCAATTCAATGGGACTCTCCAGTAACATTGTGATGATCCATCAGGGGTAGGCGGTGTTATGTGTTGAATGTATATAGTTGTGTTAAAATGAAACTAACCTTTAGATGACCCCAACTGTTAACTGTGCCAAAGTGAAATTAACCTTTAGATGACCCCAACTGTTTCAGAGGGAAATTTAAAACATTTATATTTGGGCGGGCTTTTTCTAGTTCTATGATTGGTTAAGGCCCTGTGGGCCTAGAGTATACCAGGCTTTTGTCTGCAGTTCCTCAGTTCCCTCTTTTAGTCAATAAATACTGTTGCAGCTATACTGGTCTAGTTCTTGCCTACTGAAGCCCACTACACAATAGGCATATTCATGACATCATCAGCAACTGAGCTCAATTTAAAGATTTCAAATGACCAAAAGTTATAATCAAAATCTAGAATCTCTCTGGAGAGAGCTTAGAAAGCTTAGAAAGTTATAACTATTTTCTTTATTAGGCGTAAGCAAATAAAGAATTGGATTCGATCCTACTGTTTTGTTTCTGAGTTTGCTTCTGTCAGAAGTAGTGGAAATGGATTAGAGGGAGCACTGAATCTTTACCAAATCTTATTTTGAAAATCTGATATCTGCCATTGAATTTCGTCACTGAAATTGCAGGTCTTTAGAGCATACTGCTCAAAGATGTGCCAATATGACAATTCTTTGCCAAAAGAGAAGTCAGTTTTCTTATTCAAATTGGCATACAGGTAGTCCACAATTGATCCCAAAATATATGTTGCTAAATAAGAAATTTGTTAAGTGAGTTTTGCCCCACTTTATGACTTTTCTTGCCACATTTGTTAAGTGTTGTTGTTAAGTGTTGTTGTTGTTAAATTACTAACAGGCTTGTTAAGTGAATCTAGTTTCCCCATTGACTATGCTTGTCAGAAGATTGTAAACAGTGATCACATGACCCTGGCACACTGCAACCATCATAAATTTGTATATCAAACATACAAATGTAAATCACATGATCATGGGATGCTGCAATGGTCATAAGTGTGAAAAAAGGTCATAGGTCCATTGTAGGGGTGAAATCTAAAATTTTTCCCTACCAGTTCTGTGGGCGTGGCTTAGGGGGTGTCCTGTGACTGAGTGGGCATGGCTAACTTGATGTCACTCACAGCCATGCCCACTCAGTCACAAAACCCCCTTCCACCAAGCCACGCCCACAGAACCTGGTAGGAAAACTTTTTAAATTTCTTTCTCCTGCGGCTCCGCCCACCGGCCCCATTCCCTGGACTCCTACTGCTCACCTTTCTCCCGCCAGCTGGCTGTCAGGGAAGGCAAGCGCCCAAAAGGTACCGGAGTCGCTCACTCTCCTTCTTGAATGAGCCGCTCTGGTCCACGCGCTGGCTGTGCAAGCGCACAGTTTATTTAATTCAGTGGCAGGTTGGATGTGCGCTTGCACAGCCGGCGTGTGGACCAGAGCGGCTCATTCAAGAAGGAGAGTGAATGACTCTGGTACCTTTCGGGCGTTTACCTTCCCTGACAGCCAGCCGCAGGAGAAAGGTGAGCAGTAGGAGTTGGAGAATGCACCATTCCTCAACTCCGGCCTTGCCACAGAGCTGCTGCCTGCTCACCCTTCGCCACACAGCTCTGCCCACCTGCCCCATTCCCCAGAGTCAGGGAATGCACCATTCCCAGACTCCTACTGCTCACCTTTCTCCCGCAGCTGGCTGTCAGGGAAGGCAAGCGCCCAAAAGGTACCGGAGTCGCTCACTCTCCTTCTTGAATGAGCCACTCTGGTCCACGCACCGGCTGCGCAAGCACACACCCAACCTGCCGCTGAATTAAATAAACAATGTGTGCTTGTGCAGCTGGCTCATGGACCAGAGCGGCTCATTCAAGAAGGAGAGTGAACGACTCCGTTACCTTTTGGGCGCTTGCCTTCCCTGACAGCCAGCCACGGGAGAAAGGTGAGCAGTAGGAGTCCAGGAATGGTGCATTCCCTGACTCTGGGGAATGGGGCGGGTGGGTGGGTCCATTGCCATTGAATGGTTGTAAGTTGAGGACTACCTGTATTTACATTTAAATTCCTTCTGAGTAGCTCTGACAATACAGTGCTTTAACAATACAAAAGTCACATGTTGTGGCAAGAGAGAACAGTATTCCGAAGTCTTAGCAGAATTCTCATATCAATAAAGTAAGATCACATATTTTATTGATTTTTTTCCCAGAGAGCCATGCTGCTTTCCGATGTTCTGAAAGAAATAGAAAAATCTGAGAAGTATCCTAATTTTGACATTTTCTCATATGGATTTCTCACTGAAAGAAAGTAAGTAAACAAAATCTGAATAAACAATGGTACATCACTAGAAGAAGGAACAGTGCCCACTAGCTTAAAATTAACTTTGTCAAACTGGTGCTAAAATCTAGAAGTGTTGCATTAGAACAGGAGCATAAGATTTTGAGTGACAGCAATACTGGGGAAGGCTGACTTAAAGGATGAATATTGTTTATTATTCTCCAAGAACAAGTTTGTTGGATATTTAAGAGTGGCCTAAATTTGCTAAGTAAATGCATATGGATTACTTAAAAACTTGAGTATTGCTACTGGCCTGCTCTGGTTTGAACAATCAATGTGATTGATCTGCTAACTTTGTCCATGGAGAGAAGGATGGAGGCTGTGTTATCAAAATTTATCACATCATGAACTCTTCAGTAGCAAGATCCTGCAATGATAGGTTTTTTTTAAATGCTATAATTTAAAGAAAAGTAGAATAATTGAAGGTACAGCCCACTATAGAGAAATAATCTGTAGATACATAGGAGCCAACATTTGAAAAAAAAATATTCTGTTTATAAGGCATATGGTTTTATTAGGATTACTAATGTACTGGAGAACTGTTGAAGAAATGTGTTACTTAGAACTTCCATTTTTATTCAAACTAACCAAATCTTCAAGAGAGGGGCACTTCATTTCAACAAACATTCAAGAAAACTCTTGGAGGGAAATAGGTAGTTTAGAAATGTGAAAAATGAATGAATGAATGAATAAATAAATAAATAGGCAGGCAAGTTTGTTTAGTGCGACTTTGCAAAGTAACATAGCCCTTTCTCTTTGCTAAGAATGAAGGAAACCAAGTTTACATCATTCTACTTCAAAGTCCCCCAGGACCTCCTCCATTATTTGCAGTCTTTTTGTAGTTTTTACAATTGGTAAACACCAATAGTTGTTTTCATGCTTACCTGGTTTTCTGTTGCTCAAATATGGTAGTCCTAATATGAACACTTCTGGAATAGTTGGAATGACACATTTTCAACTTCACTTTGAGTTCAACAGGTTTTGAATTTAAAATCTTTAACCTACTGTAATGGAAAGGAAGGGAAAATCTTTTATTTATTTTATTTTATTTATTTGTCAAGTATGTATTAGATAATATATATAAGTATAAGCATAAATTGAATACATAAAATGAATACAAATATAGGGAACATTATGTCAAGTATTTGCAAGCCATTGGCACATATATCATACAGACACTAGTGGAGAGGGAATGGTAGCAGAACTCCACTCCAGGAGCTGTTGAAAAGGCGAGATGCCCTCCAAAATAACCTGTGAGAGAAGCTCCCCTGTTGTGACCAGAGGCCTTCAATGGAGGAGAACTTCACAGCAGCCCCAGTCTGAATCAACAATGGAAAACATCGAAGGGGGTTTCCATCCAGCTACACCCTGGCAGCCAAAGGCCACCCAGATGCAGCAAGAGATCCCAGGGGCCGAGCCAGGCAATGTTGGAGAAGGCTTCTTCAGCACTGACGAAGAGGGGGCAGAAGGACCAGATGAAAGCCTGGACAGGCAAGTGGCTGAGATGTCAGAAGAGGAGTGCCGAGCAGCGCTTGCCTCCCTCCTGAAGACAAGGGCAGCAGCCAGAAAGAGGCCTGAGGAGGCAGCACCAGAGATGCCTGCCATCCCGGTAAGGACTCCCCTGCCTGATCTCTCCAAGATGGCACCTGCCGCCAGAGAGACTGCCCCCCCACCCAGTTTCCCGCCAAACAAAATGGCCGCCAGGCCACTTCCGGAGGCAACTTCCTCCAAGATGGCTGCTCTCCTGGGCACTTTGCCAGAACCACGAGCCAGGCCATCCCCAGCTCCACAGCCCAGGCCTACAACGCCAGCCAGTCAGTTCAGCATTCCAGAGGCCCAGAGGACCACTCCGAACCCACAAGCCCCTTGCCAGGCCCCGCCTGCCAAGGCAAACATCAAAGAGGCCATAGAGGCCCTGGTTGCTGCCCTGGAATTTATGGAGCAACCACCCACCGGCCGCCCCGAGGTCCCAGACCCAGCTGCCCACTTAAGGAGGGCCCCAAATCCAACCTCCCACCCCTGGAGGAACCCAGATGGACCTGCAGCCTCCCACCCCCCACTGCAGAGGCGCTCACCATTCACTGAATGCTCCACGGAGGCCCAGGCTGAGGCCTCCACACCTTTCCGGCCCTGCTGGGATGATCCGGAGCTGCAATCCTGCTCCTCTGATGGAGAAGAGGAGATCCAGAGACATTTCCAGGCCTACCAGCCCATGGACCTCATCTGATGGGCCTCCAGTCTCCAGAAAGATCTCCAGGCCTTCTTCCCACTCCTCCAAGGCTTCCCCGCCACATCGCTGATGTCCGGGCCTATACTGAAGCTCCAGCCAGACTTGACTTCAGAGCTCAGAGAGGGAGATCGGAGCTCCAACAAGAAAAGGCTTTGGAGCATGCTCCATTTCCTGCACGTGCCCAGTTGCTTCAAACTACAGAAGGACTACAAAAAGGAGCCAGACCTAAGCAATCGATCCCAGGCTTAGGGATCCCAATGCCATTCACAACCGGCTCTTTTCAGCCATTTGAACAACTCCCCATGCAGTTTAATGGCAATAATTTTGTAACTTTGCCAAATAATTTTGAAAAATTACATTTAAGTGGTCAGAATTTTTAAAAAATGGTGTAAAGAGATTCAGATAATTCTCTTAAGAGAAAATACTCTGGACATGATCAAAAGACCACCCCCTTTACCTTGGAGCCCTGAAATTGAGTTCCTGCATAAAAGAGCTTACACAACCCTGTTAAGTTCTATAGACACAGCTCTGTATGCCAGTCTTTCAGACGGCCTCACAGCTCAGGAATTTTGGACTGCCCTATATAATTTGTTCCATAGTGACAATATGGCTGCAACCAGCAGATTGTCAAGAATTTTCCACAACTATAAACTCAAACCTGGTGTCAAAATGGGGGAACATTTGGCAACGCTTAAAGCCATGAGGGATGAGCTTATACAGAGGGGGGAGCCTGTTTCTGAATCCATTTTAATTAGTGTGATGTTGAACTCCCTAGACAAATCCTGGAGTCCCTTTATTATTTCTCTAGAAGGGGTTTCTAGGGAACAAAGAAATATAGAATACTTTTCTGGCCGCTTTATTGAGGAAGATTTAAGGCGCAGAGATGAGGAACAACAAGAAATGAAGGAGGCATATCACAGGCCTAGGCCTCAGAGGAGGCGCCAGGACACAAGTGAAAGGATTAATACCCTTCCCACCTGCTTTGACTGTGGCATACAAGGTCACTTTAAAAGGGAGTGCCCTCGCTCTAGGGCCAACACAGCTGGACTTAAGCACAATAAAAATAAAAGAGGCCGTGGAAGAGGGGGAGGTGGTCATAAAGGATACCAATTCTGTAGTGTCACTAGTGACAATCACACCTCCCAGGTAAGGGATGCTGAGGGGCTGTGGCTTCTTGATTCAGGTGCATCAATGCATATAGCCAACACGAAGCAACGATTTAAGGTTTTACACCCACTCAAGTCCTCAGTAAAAGTTGCCACTGGGGACAAGGCAGAGGTAACTGGGGAAGGTGTGATCAATGTGCCTGGTATAGGAGATGTCACAGGGGCACTGTATGTTCCCTCAATCAAGAACAACCTTTTAAGCATCTTAAAATTGACTGAGGATAAAAATGTAAAACTGGTTTTTGAGAAGGGTGGAGGTTATGTTTTCGAAAATGGGGGTGTTGTTGGCGATATTGTAAAAATCAACAATTTGCCTTATTTTTCCCCAAAAGCGCAGGTCAAAAGGCACAAGAAACCTAACAAGAGGGCTCAGGGAGCTAACGCCCAGATAGAGCAGAAAGCTTCTGTGCCAGCTCCCAGGTTGTCCAAACTCAAGGACCCTGGACCTAAAACCAATGAAGCTTTTAAACCAGCTCCTAGGACATCCAAAGCCATTAAGGCTGAGCCCATTAAGGTCACAACTCCTCAGCCAACCCTGAGGAACTCTAAGGTGACCATTAATCCAGTGCCTACTCTCATTACTGAACAGACCAAGGCTTGTAATGGTAAGATACATAAGGTTGACAAAGTATGCATGGGTAAACCTTTACATTTGGATTGTGCTCATATATTACACCGCAGGCTCGGCCATGCCAGCTTCCCGGTTATTAAGAAAATGCAAGATTTTTCTGATGGGCTTAAGATAAAGAATTGTAATACCTATTTGGAATGTGCCATCTGTAAGGCAGCAAAATCTAAAACTGCTGCTATACCTAAGGTCTCTTCCCGTCGTGCAAGGTACCCTTATCAGCTGGTACACATGGATTTGGTTGGTCCTTTTAGACCCTCCCTTGGTGGGGGGCGTTATTTTTTAACAGTAGTAGATGATTACTCTCGTTATGGCCATGTATTTATTTTAAAGGACAAAAATGAAGTCTTTACCAACTTCAAATATCTTTACAACCAGATCCAAACGCAACACAAGGTGTGCATCGCCCAGGTGCAGAGTGATAGGGGGACTGAGTTTACATCCAAGACTTTCGAAAAGTGGATGAAGGAGAGAGGTATCGTCCATTTTAAATCATCCCCTCGAACTCTGTCCACGAATGGCATTGTAGAAAGGAGAAATGGCATGCTGCAGAATGTCATGAACTGCCTACTTGCAGATGCTGACATGAGCCAAGTTTTTTGGGTAGAAGCGGTCAAAATGGCTAATTATCTAGTCAACAGGACGTGGAGTAGTGCTATTAACCAAACCCCATACTTCCTGGTCCATGGAAGAAAACCTAGCCTCTCACAGCTGAGAATTTTTGGTTCCTATGCCTGGGTCCATATTCCCAAGCACCTCAGAAGAAAGGGGGGCAAGGCATCAAGGAGGCTCAGATTTATAGGTTATGCAACCGGCAGCAAGGCCTCTAGGTTTGTAGACAAAAATAACCTTGTCATTGTCTCTAGATCAGCTTCCTTTGAGGAGGGGTCAAATTGGTCAAAAATTCATTCCAATGAACCCGGTTATTCCCCTATTAGAAGCGACACTGAACAAGCAGCACCACCTGAAGAGGATGAACCAACAAACTCCAAACAACTGACCAGCGAAGATCCGGATGGTGATGAATCCCTACCTGACTCTGACGATTCAGACAAGGAATCCCTGGGTGACTTCACACCTCCTGCCTCACCTAAACGACCATATCTTCGCAGCACCTGGGACAGAGGCCCGCCCCATTTTGATTGGAAAGATACCTCCGGCAGCTCCAATTCTGACACCGATGCTCCGGATGACAATGATGATGGTGAGTGGCAATTTCCCAGACGGTCAAAACGCTCCAATAAAGGGGTGCCACCCAAAAGGTTGGACATTGGCTGTGTTGCCTCAGTCAACAGCGTTACCATGACCCCTAAAACGTACTCAGATGTCCTCCAGCTTCCCGAGGAAGAACAGCGCAGGTGGAGGGTGGCAATGGAGCGGGAAATGGACAGTCTCAAAAAATTGAAAGTCTTCATCCCCATGGAAGTCCCCAAAAAGAGGAAAGCAATTGGCACCCGTCGGGTCTACAAGGTCAAGCCAATGCCCAACAACAAACTCCTCTATAAGGCCCGGCTGGTAGCACAAGGCTACGCACAGCGCTACTTGCAGGACTTTGATGAAACATACTCCCCCACCGTGAGAGCGGAAAGTGTGAGGGCTGCTTTGGTCACCGCAGCAGCACATGGGGAACACATTTTTCAATTTGATGTGCAAACTGCTTATTTACACGCACATCTAAAACAAGAAATTTATGTCAGAGGTGACCCTGGATTTCAACGGCAGGAAGGCCACACCTGGCTTCTGAAGAAAAGTTTGTACAGCCTCAAACAATCAGGCAGACTGTGGTACAAATGCCTGACTAAAACTCTCAAATCACTGGGTTTCCATCCATCTCCAGCTGATAAATGTACCTTCACAAGGGATACCAAAGGGGGGCTGGAGAAAGTCCTAGTGTATGTCGATGACCTTTTATATATAGGGCCTGACAAGGGGGGAAGTATTATATTTG